CTCCAAAATATATAAAGCAAATTCTAATAGATTTGAAGAAAGATTGGCAGTTTGAATTCACCCATAGGTCCTCAAAAGAAAGATGTGAAAATCTGCTTCTGAAAACCCAGCCACTGAAAACACAATGGAGCACAATTCTAAACTGACACTCATGAATTGGAACTGACTCCATGGCAACTGGTACTGGTAAGCATCTTTGAATTGGGTGAGAATTAAGCTTCTACAGCTACAAGCAGCCCTGTCTCCTTTTTTCCAGCTATCAAGTGGAGGCAGAAGAAAAGGACCCAAGGAATCCCACAATCGCAAGTTTCCTGTATTGGGGAGCCTGGGAGATCTAGAGTTCAGGACTCAGAAAAAGAGAAGGCTTAGCAACTTTGAGACCTGAGGGAGTAAGCATGTTCTTAGGTTGCTCTGATAATGTTAGGCAAAGCTGGAGCTGCCCCAGTCCACCCAGCCTCCTGCTTTGTTCGTCATGGTTGTGCTGTCTCCACCAGTGGCCCTGGGTGCAAGCTTTGACAGCTGACCAGGCACCCTTCCAGCTGTGTGTATCCCTGTCAAGGAGGGGAGGCACAGCTGCCCTGGACCTGTTTCTTACCCACCCCTTCCAATGCAGATGAAGCCCAGGAAGCAGAAGCCATTCAGATCCTGACTTCAATCTTGAGTGTTCGAGAATCTACATCTAACAACGCTCCAGAAAAAACTGTCTTGGTTTTGAAGACCCTGGTTATGCTTTACTACCTGATGATGAATTATTCAAAGGCAAGTTTTCCTAGGAAAGCATGCTTAAGATAGAGATAGAGAGTCTGCCAGTTTAATTCATGTTTTACTTATTTATCTTATTTATTGTATCTCTCTCTCCTACTAGATTATAAATTTTATGAGGGCAGAAATTTTACAGTACCTGGAACATAGTAGCCATTCAATAAATATTTATAGGAATCTAGAAAATAGGAAGAAAAAGAGAAAAAGAAAGCCAGGGCTTGTCCCAAGACATCCTTTGTGCCTCTATCCATAAAACCTTGGACTACATAGTACCCAGAACTGTCCCAGGATGCAATTTTAATTGTTGCAATATCACCTGTATACCAAAGAGCCATAATAAAAATCCTGCAAAGATCCCACTTTGCTAGGTAGGTGTGTCCCTAGTTAATCAAGCCAAGTGTGTTTTTTGCATCCCTTGCCCCACAAAGCACACACTTAGCCTGCTGTAAGGGCCCAGTGTGTATGTTCACAAGTTTACTGTCAAAAAACAAAGTTTATTACAAGCTCAGTGGCTATGCTGAGAAGCTGGTGGATCCTATCCCATGTTTCTGGAGTTGCGCATAGGTGGGGCTTCCCAGGGTTATGCTTTCCTGTGACAACTTCCTTTTGTCATTGTCATTCTATTTCAGGCCCAGGAATTTGCCATGAAAGCCTTCACTCTAGCCAAAGAAAAGCTTAATGAGCATGAACAGAGCACCATTCAGGAGTTATTAAATCTCATCTCTGCTGAAGAATCTCATCCTCAGTGACCCATGAGCACCTCATATGGCTAATGGGCTAGAGAAAGTCTGATGTATCCCAGCTGTGCACACACTTGCCAACATTTCCACCGCCTTCCCCTAGAGCTGCACACACAGCTGTGATTGTATTCTCACCGAGCACATGGGAGGGCAAGTAGGTATAGAAAGACATGGAAATTAGTAAAATTTGCTTGGTGGTACTGAAATATTTGTTATCATGATTTTGTACTTAGTATCCTTATTCAATTTTGAGTAATATACTGCCAGATCACTAATATGGTACTTGTAATTAAACTGCATCTCTCCCAGAAGTCTCCCAGTGATGCATGTTTTGTAAGTCTTTGCCAAAGAAGGAGGTAAAGAATGAAGCAAAGAATTGGAGCTGTTTCTCTATTCTGCTGAAATTAGGTTAGCATTAATTGAAAGTAGATTGTGATTTTCTTAAAAATACCCATACAATTCTTAGAAATCATTAAGAAAAATGACTGAAAAATAGATTAAAATCAAAGAATGAATATGGTACACTAGGAAACATCCACTTAATGCAAAAGAAAACAGTAAGAGGAACCGAGGAACAAAAATGAATGAGACATAAAGAAAATCAAGAGTAAAATTGCAGGCAGTCTTTGCTAGAAAAGGCCCCTGGGCCTCACAAGGTGTCTAGGTATGGTTATGGACTAGCTGAGATACCATTCCAGGCTTGTATCTTTCTTTTCACAATGATTTGAAGCAGGTGTAGCCTGTCTAGGGAGAGAGACTCTGAAAGGTGATATAATGCAGGGGACTGAGTTCAGCACTTAGAGTCAGATAGGAGTGGGTTCAAATCCCTTCTGTCTCATTTAATAGCTTTGTGACCTTGACCCCCCACCTCCCCCAGAGCCTCATTCATTATCATTGTAAAATGGTCCTGATTAGGCCACAGATGTATCAAATCGTCCCATAGTGGTGACTCTGATCATTTAACACATTCCTTTTCTCTCCCTTTAACTCCTCTCCAGACTCACAAAGTGGCTTACCAGTTAGCAGTTGGCTTCCTAAGTAAATCTGCACCCAGTGAGAGTCTACGTGGATCAAAAGCTTGTGAGACTTTCATATTCCATGTGGTGCTCTAGGATAAGCACTAGAGCGCAAGATCTGTTTGGATAGCAAGGTTGGAGGTTCAAACTCACCAGATGCTCCTCAGAAACCCTATACAGGGTTGCTATGAGTCGGAACCAGCTCAACAGTACTTAACAACATAAACTGTAAATTAACTAGCTCAGGCACATACAGAAAAAAAATGTATGATGAGGTCCTCCTGCGCTTTCACCTGGAACCCTCATTTCACATATTTGAATATTGGGATAATGCACTGGATCGCAAGGTTGTTTGAATGGCAAGGTCAGTGGTTCAAACTCACCAGATGCTCCTCAGAAACCTTATACAGGGTTGCTATGACTCGGAACCAACTTGACGGCAATTAACAACAGTGCTTCTTCAAGAAGATTATGAAGTCTTTTGGGATTACTTTTCTTCCAGTCATCTTTCACCCCAATTCTGAGCTTCAATCGAATGTTCCCTCTCCACTCTTGTAGCATTTTCTTCATCTTGTAGCCATTTCTTCATCTTAGGCACAGAGCTCCTTCTCAATTCTCACCTCTCTCCCCAAAGTATGAAGCAACTATTTCAAATAGACTTTTAATGAAGATTGTGGGGCAGGTATCAACAACTCTTCAGTAGATGATCTTAAAAAGAAGATGAGAACTTCTGAAAAAAAGAGACCTTAAAAGTTCATTTCATTAAACTGCACATAAAACTCTCTTTACCGTGTTCATTGACCCCGGTCTCTTTCCGCTTCTTCCTTGTTTAGTCTCTGTTCTCTCCACCCCTGAATTTCTGCTCATAAATCCATCTGTGTTGAGTATACTTATATGTATGGTTTTTACTGATTGAATTTTTCCACATTGTAGATCATAAATTTCTGCTTTTTGCACTCTGGTAGTGTAGTGGTTACGAATTAGGCTGCTAATCTCATGGTCAGCAGTTCGAAACTACCAGCTGTTCCACGGGAGAAAGATGAGGCTTTCTGCTCCCATAAAGATTTACAGCCTCGAAAACCCCAAACAGGGTCGCTATGAGTCAGAACCGACTCCACAGCACATGATAATAATTTTTTATTGTATACTCTTATTGTAAATGTTGCATTTGAGTGCATGGATTTCTTCTTAAAGGGTATTGTTGAAGTTTGTTTTGTCGGCCAGTTCAGATACTTGTGAATCAGTTGGATTTTTTTAAGGTATGTTTACAGAACTTCTGAATTTACAGAACTTTTACTCTCCTTCTGTGCTTCTTAAAGTGATGTTTGGAGATCCTTGGAAATCCCCAAGTCTTTTCAAGGGGTCCAGTAAGTCTTTCCTTTTCTAACTACATATATGTGTAAAGCTTTTATACAGTGTTGAAAAGCAAAGATGTCAGCTTGAGGACTAAGTTGCACCTAACCCAAGCTATGGTATTTTCAGTAACCTCACATGCATGCAAAAGCTGGACAGTGAATAAGGAAGACCATAGAAGAATTGATGCATTTGAGTTATGGTGTTAGAGGAGAATATTGACAGTACCATGGGCTGCCAAAAGAACCAATAGATCCGTGTTGGAAGAAGTGCAGCAGAGTGCTCCTTGGAGGCCAAGATGGCCAAACTTCATCTCTCATACTTCGGACATATTGTCAGGAGGGACCAGTTTCTAGAGAAGGATATCATGTTTGATAAGGTGGAGGGTTAGAGAAAAAGAGAAGACCTCCCCCCCCCCAGTGAGATGGATTGGCAAAGTGGCAGCATCAATGGGCTCAAGTGTGGCAAGAATTGTGAGGTTGGCCCAGGACCGGGCAGTGTTTCATTCTGTTGTGCACAGGGTTGCTGTGAGCCAGTACCAACTCGATGGTACCTAACAACAACAACATATGCATAAGGCTAGATTTTCTTCATTTTGACCTAAACAACATATCATAACATTTTAATGCAGAAGCAGATGTGAGAATTAAGCTGTCTTCTTCCCTTAAGCCAGACATTAAATGAATTTGAAAAAATGCAAAATAATGCCATTCTTCTCACTAAACTTTTGTTTTGAGAAATAGCTATTTTTAATGAACATATGTTATTTATACTAATATGCACGCTTACATTCTTTTTAAAACAGTGAATAAGTATTTAAAATTTTTTCAATTTAATTCCTAAAATGGCAACTATTGATAGATACAACCCACATTAAAAAAAAAAAAAAAAGTTCTTTGTGGTTCCTCAGTAATTTTTAAGAGTGTAAAGGCTGTTGTTAGGTTACATCAAATTGGTTCCAACTCACAGCAGCTCTGTGCACAACAAAGTGAAACACTGCCCAGGCCTGTGCTGTCCTCACAATTATTGCTGTGTTAGAGCACCGCTGCTGCACCCACTGTGCCAATCCAGCTCTTTGAGAGTTTTGATTTGTTTTTTGTTTTTTTCTGACCCTCTACTCTGTTGTTGTTGTTGTTAAGTACCAAGGAGTTGGTTCCAACTCATAGCGACCCTGTATAGGATTTCTGAGGCTGTAAATCTTTATAGGAGCAGAAAGCCTCATCTTTCTCCCATGGAACGGCAGGTAGTTTCCAACTGCCAACCTTGAGGTTAGCAGCCTTATTCGTAGCCACTACGCTACCAGAGTTCCTTGATTCTCTACTTTAGTAAGCATGATATCCTTTTCCAGGGACTGGTCCCTCATAATAATATGTCCAAAGCACATAAGACAAAGTCTCTCCATCCTTGCTTTTAAGGACCATTCTGGTTGTCCTTTTTTAAAAAAAGTGAATTTTAAACTTTTAAATGTGAATTGAATGAAGGTTTACAGAGCAGATCACCAGTTTCACATTCAACTAACCATACACTTTGTTTAATCTCAGAAGGTGTAACATCACTTATCCCATGTCCTCCTTGTGTTTCTTGTTTCCATTCTTCCTCCTTTTCCACACTCCTGAACCTCTGTCCTTTGACAAATGCTGCCCTTTTGTCCTCCACCGGTTGAGGTTGGCCATTCTCTGGTGTGCTTATCTCACTGGCATTCTCCTCCCTATATGTCTGTCTATTACTTGACTGGAAATTGAGCCAGTCCTGAAGGGTGACCAAGGGCCATAGCCTCAGGGGTCCACCAGCATCTGTCTGACCAGTATGGCTGCTCTTTTTTTTTTTAAATGATTTTGTGTTTTGTTCCATATTTTCTCCCACTCTATCCAGGACTTTCTAATATTGATAGTGGTAGTTGGGTATCATCTAGTTCTTTTGGATTCAGGGTACACAGACTGATATTCCTGTGGTCCATTAGTTCATTGGATTAATTGTTTCTAAGCACCTTCAATCTTCATCACCCTTCTTTCCTCCGGACAGAGAGAAACTAATAGTTGCACCTTAGATGGCCGCTGAGAAGATTTTAAGTTTCTAGTCACTACTCACAAAAGGAGTATGTAGGACACTGTCTTGTATGGACTGTGTTATGTCAATTAATCAGGGTGTCCCCTTAGACTATGGTGCTGAGCCGCCAAGCCCAGGAACTCATTCCCTCAAGGTGTTTAGTAATATCTAAGAAGTTTTCATAGTTTTGCCACCTGTATGCTCCACTACATTCATGGATATGTTTTCAGCAAAGGTACAAATCTCCTCTGTTAGACTTTTATATATTTGTGGGTATACTCCGAGTCTTCCTCCCATCCTTTGTGTTGATCCATAGATCTACTTATATGTCACTGTTATTGCAGGGTTGTGTTTATAACTTTATCTTTGTGCTCTTTAACTCTTGCAGTCCTTGCCAAGTTTCCCCTTGCCTACATTACACTTCTGCCACTCCCTACTTGTTGTATACTGCCTTCTCCATCACCCAAATTAACGCATGTCTAACCTTTAGAAGCTTGGAAGGTTTACATTACAGCTAGGAGAATTTGTAGCAGAATCAAGAAAGCCATTGCTTTCTAATGCAAGACACTCAACTGCTCTTGGAGCTGCCATCTT